TACATAGTTTTTATGGGTCAAGCATGAGGCCTTAGGAAAAATGCTGGGATAGAAAGAAGGGGAAGGCACTTTGAATGCTGATGAAGAATTTAGAACTCAGTTCTTCCAGGCTTTTAAGGATGTTTTCTTTCTGGAAAGATATTAGAGGTATTTAATTCATGCGACCTCTATGCCATTTAGGACAATGCTTTGATTTTTTTTTACTATGCTTTCTCTTTTATCTGTTTTGTTTGTTTAATTTAGAGGTCTTTGTTACTTATCAGATGTGATGTTTAAACTCTGCTGTAATTACTGTTTTTCTTCTTTCTCACATTTATTTTATTAATGTTTTTACTTAGAGCAGATTGTTTAAATATTTTGAGAACCCTTCAGGGATTGATAAAAGGCAATTAATATCAACTGTTGATATTGTCTTTTCTTTTTCCTGGGCTCCCTAGATCTTATCTTCAATTTAAATTAAAGGGATGAGAGAAGGAAAGGAATTCTAGTTATTTGGACCAGGATTTAGAGTGTAAATGTCTTCAAAGTTTTGCTCAGTTGTTTTGGCTTAGCCTTCTGCAATGACAGGGACCATCTGAGGACTTTGGACTTGAATCCAGGTTTGGATTCCTTGGAAATGAACTTCATACACAGAGGCAAAGATAAACACACAAACATACACACAAATGTTCAGGCTGAACTGGGCCCACCTCTAATTGCATATTTATAAAACTATTCTGGTATCATAACAAGGCTTGTAGTAGAATAATCATACATAAAGACAGATGGTCAGAGAAAAATTGGGAAACCCCTAAGACAAAAACTGAAACACTATTTGCTAGACACCCTTCCCTCTTCTGTTTGCCAGTCTGGCATATAAATTCAGGATATTAGATCCTTGCATATTATGAATGAAGTAAAATATTTTTTTAGAAAACACTGACATTTAAAATGCTAAAATATTCTGTATCTAATGAGCTACAAAATAGCTCCAAGTTGGCTCAGCAGTGAAAAGGAGTGCACCAGACCCACTGCCCTTATTCATGCATACAAGCTTACAAGCTTCAGTGAGATAGAGGGAATCTCAAACCATTGCAGGACACGCTTTGCAGCAGATTGAAGTCTTTTCCCCAAAAAAAAAAAAAAAAAAAAAAAAAAAAAGGTGGGTTACAACTGAGAAAGCTGAGAGGAGGTAGAGAAAGCCCTCTGATCCCAGAAGTGTGAGAGGCAAGCAAGATGCTTGTGAACAATTATTGAATATTTACAAAATGACAGCTAGATATATACAAACTGGAAATACTTAACCGATAGAGGAAAAAGAAATTCCTACAGAATCTAAGCATATCAGCCATAATTGACCTTTCTGATTTTAGCCAGTTTTGCATTTCTCCCTTCTTTTAAGTTTCTCATATTTTACTTTTTCTGTACTTCCAAACTATTTTATCACTTCATATTTGCAGGGTGGTATAAAATCCAAATCAGACCCTGAATCTCATGGATGATTTTTGACCTACTGTTGGATTCCATTCTGTAACAGGATGGAAGAGCTGGAGTATGGGGTGATATGGAGATCACTTGCACCAAAGCAGACTTTGCCAGGAATTAGGGGTTCTACATTTCTCGCAAAAAACTCAGATATATATTCTCATAACCAATAATCTCTTGCTATTGTTAACTTCTCCACGAAAGAAAAGTTAATTAGCATGGAGTAGGAACCCACACATTGCTAGTAATGACAATGTCATTGACATATGAAAATTGAAGGACAGAAGCACAGAAAAAAAGTCAAACAGGCTGGATCTGTGTGACTCCTAGGAAAATTAAATTGTGGATTCAGACTGTTCGGATTAGGGCTGGCCTTGATAGCATTTGTGTTCTGTCTGGTTTCATCTTGCCTAATTCTGGGTTGCTAGCCAGGTACCTTAATCAGGAATGTATTAATTATTAGCTCCCTCTTGAAAGAGAAGAGGATGCCTCTTATCCAGCTCAATACTAACACTGAAAAGGCCTGTTTCTTAACAGACCACTAAAACAGCTTAGTGCAAATGTGATCCTAAATTCAGTCCCTCAAACTGAGAGAATTAGATCTTTGCATTCAGTTGTGCCCCACAAACTTTAACTCTGAATGCACCAAACTGAGGAAGAATAAGAATGCAGGCAAGAAAGTGGTGCAGCTGAATCCTGTGTGACACTTCTATTCAGCCAGTAGCATGGCACATGTCATTGCATCATCTGGCACCCCACATTTGCTTTTTGGAACATACGGTAACCAGAGAAGCCACAGCACTGTTCAGTGCTAAAGGCAAAAAACGTGCCAGTCTTTGTCTCTTACATCCCCAGAGACTCAGCCAGCAAGAAACAAACGTTGAGAGGTCTGAAAGAAACCCACAAAAATTAGTCAAATAATGGAACCAGGTCTCCTATTCTCCAAGGAACAGAAATAAACAATTACATTTTCTGCAACTTAGCAGTTTACAACCGAATGGATTGAGAAAAAAATCTGGGAAGAGTCCCACAGGTTGGGCTAGTTTTTTCTGGGGATCAGCACTTTGTGCTCCAAACCGATTACCTGGTCAGAAAGAAAAATCCAGACCACGTGTCAACTAAAAAAAAAACATGAACTTGTTAGGGTATTCTTCTGTATCAGGGCTGATATTTCTGAAATTTCTGATACCTCTGACCATACGAAACTGAAGTCAGAACAGTGAGTACACAAAAGTATTTTGGCATCCTAACTATTAAGAGACAATGGCCAGCTTTTGTTCTCAAGAATATATAGATCAGAACTAACCTCTCTCCAGAAACTTGTGTTAGGCTGCTATAAAAGTAGTTTTTGTACAAAGAAATTAATATTAAATTATTCATGACTAAGATTATTTAGTACTTACCTAAGATCAAAAGAAAATTGCCCCACTTTTAAAATCACACTTATTTTGTAAAAATCCTCCTTTTCTCTTTCTCACTCAGTTATTTTATTCTACTAATTAATAAAGACCCAAGTCTGAGTAGAAAATAAATGTCCCTGAGCACAGGTATCTGCTGTCTATCGAAGTGCAAGAGTTGAAGAAGTTAGCACTTTCTGTGTAAGTTCTCAAAATAATAGGCTAAGAGAAGAACTGTCTGTAGAACGGAGCATGGGATATCACCCAATCCAAGAACCTGCTCAGAGCAGGTATACCTGTAACATCAGCTTAGGTTGCTTAATGCCTTGCTCAGATGAGCTGAATGGAGGCCACACATCCCTTTTGGCAACCTGTTGTAGTGCCTGCCTGATCCCACTCGGAAAATATTTTCCTTAGCATCTTGAAGGAGTAATTCCCAGAGTAACAGCAGGTATCCAATTATCTTGAACTGATTAAAAGGCTGAATTTTTGCATTACAAATTTTTTTTCCTAGAAAAGATAAAAAAAAGTATTTTCTCTCTGGAAACTTTAAAAATTCATGTTACAGATATATTGTTCTTCCATTTATCTGTTAAGAAAGTTGTTCTTGGAAGAATAGCCCCTTCAGAAATTGTTATAGCTGGAAACCCTGGGGATGCCATAGAAAAATGAAAATAAATGGGACAGATAATGGAATTACTAAGATTTTTGTTTTCTTTTCATAAATGAGTCACAGGGTAACCTATACTTTTCTGTCTTATACTCAGTGGAATTAGAAAAACATTGAAAGAGATGTTATTGACATCTACAAATACACTCCTGGCAGTTCATTCTATGTCAATGCTGACAAAATTCCAATGTCTCAAAAACATCCAGGAGAAAACACCCGATTACTTCAATGGGCCCTGGCTGCAGAGCCTTGTAATGAGACGACTTCATTGTCAGGGTCACTTTAAATCAATTATGCACTTAATCCCTGTTTTGAGAGACTGTTTACAACAACTTCTTTTCCCATGGCTATATATAACACTGATGTAATGGCCAATTCCATTGATAAATGCCAAGAGCTAAAGGCCAGTCATATGAGGATTGCCTAGTTGCAATTTTTCCTTCAGGAAAGGTACCAAAGAAAGTTTATAATATGTATAATTGCATATTATCAATATCTAACAGTTTTCTGTCACATACTCTGCAAATCTGTGAGTCCCACCAGAAGTATTCTAGCTGCCTGGGATTGCATGGTGAAATAAAACTGAGGAGCTTCATAGTTATGCCCTGCTGTGGGGCTGTGTACTGAATTCCCAGCACATCCATGACCCATCCTCCCTTACACAAACTGCCTCAGCTGTAAAACCTCCTACCCCAGGAAGCCCACATCCACGGGACATGTACATGAGGGGCATTGAGGAGGTGTCATGATCCATCAAAGACCTACATAGCTCTCCCCAGACTCACTGCTGAAGCCTTGCAGCAGAGCACTGCACATGGTACAAAATGATCAATAGATTCAGAGAGATCAGCAAGAGACTGAGTCTAACTTGTCCCCTGCCCAAGGGGAGGTACCTAGGCCTTCCCACCCAACCCAAGTGTATATCAATCCACTGAACTCGATGTTTCTTTTCACCATAAAGAAGCCCTCATGGAGACCATCAATGGTACACCATTGAGATCAACAGAGTGGTGATATTTTCTACTTAATCTGTTTCAGTCACTCTCTTTCTTGCCCCTACCTCTATTCTATTTCTTTCTCTCCCCTACCCCAACCCCCCTAACCCCACCCCCCTCCTTACCCCTCCCCCCCCCCCCCCCCCCCCCGTTCCATTTACTGTTAAATAAAACCCATACGCTATTCACTTTGGCATATGGTGTCATTTGCACCTTAATTCAGGCAGGGGCATTTCTGAAAATTTTAACAGCTGGATCATAAAGTTATGAGGGGGCTAGAAACCCACAGTTTTATCAAGTATGGCTGTTCAAGGGGTGCCGGGTGTGGCCCTTTGTGACACAGGACACAGGTGTGTTGTGTCAGGACCCTTGGTGACATAGGACATTGTGATGACCAGAGCTCTTGTGATGTGGCAGAGCCCCATCCTGCCAGGGGGGTACTTAAGGGGCACACCCGGCACCCCTTGAACAGCCATACTTCTGCACTAAAGGATGTCTGAGATGGAAGAGAACAAGGTAAATCCCAGTTCCCAGACCCCAGTCCCTTGACCAGCTTTCAAGTAGACCTGAGGGCAGAGGGCAGCTCAGTCCTGCCCCTGTCACAGACTGAGAAGGAGGGAGCTTTTGTCAACATGGATGAAGAGCTGAAAGACAATGCAGGTCAAGAACTTTCCCCAAGGCGAAATATTAGTGGCCGAGAGTTTTTCCTGTGGGAAGAAGTGAGAGTCCAGGACTTTTACCACGAGCAAGAAGAAATGACATTCCAGTATGAGGTAGGTGTGACAGTCCAGCAAGAGATGTACCACTGGGAAGAAATCATGGAAGTCCACTACCTATGGCATGAAGATGATGACAGATACCGTGAGTACTCCCAGTGGGAAGAAGATCCAGCATACCAAGAGCTGTGCCAGCAGGAAGGGGAGGGATACCAGGATCTGTCTCTTTTGCAAGATGTGCAAGGTCATCCACAGATGTGCCAGTTAGAAGTGGACAAGAGAGACCTAGAGTTATCCCAAGAAAAAGGCTACAGCATTGAAGATCTGCCCCAATGGGAAAAAAACAAGAGTGACCAAAACCAGTCCCAACAGGAAGAAAGTATGAGCAGCCAGAGGCTGTCCCAGTGGGGAGAAGGAGACAGATACAAGACCTGGAACAAACCATTGGACACAGAGAACCATGAGGATGCCCAGACTTGTGCCCAGCAGAGGCCCAGCTTTTCCAGCAGCATAGGCAGTAAGGTGTCAGGAGAGGCAGTCCATGAGCTTCCCAGCACTTCTCCTGCCCTGGGAAGTCCCATGGAGGCTGAGCCTCTGGCTGCCAGGGAGGAAAAAGCACCAGATTCTCCTGTAGACAGTGATGAGGTGCTGTTGTCAGGGACAGAGAGCCCAGAGACAGAGACAGACAGCCCAGAGAGCCCAGGAACAGAGAGCCCTGCCTCACACACCACCCCAGGGTGCTGCCAGGCTCTGCTGGACTTAACAGGGCACATCAGCTCTGAGGTGGTGTGCAAGGCTGTGCTTGAGGTCCAGGCAACTGGCCAGCAGCCAGAGGAACAGAGGGACCTGGAGCAAAGCATAGCTGCAGAACTGGAAGCAGCAGCTCCAGCAGAAAGGAAAGAGAGACTAATCTCTGCCCCACTCAGCCCCTCAACCAGTCCCTCAACCAGCCACTCAACCATCCTGCTGGGAGCCCAGGCACTCAGGGACCAGCAGGAGGAGGCAGACAGGGGGTCAGGCCTGTCAGAACAGGAGAGCAAGAAGGGCACCTTGGCTGGGGAGCTTGAGCTTTTCCAGTATGATGATAAGGAAGACCCAGAGCTCTCCCATCAAAAAATGAACAAATACCAAGAAGTATCCCAAGAGGAAGCCTGCACAAAGCAAGAGCTGTCCCCAGGAGAAGCTGGTAGCTACCAGGAATTGTCCCCAGGGGAACTCTGCACAGAGCAAGAGCTGTCCCCAGGAGAAGTAGGTAGCTACCAGGAATTGTCACCAGGGGAAGCCTTCACGGAGCAAGAGCTGTCCCCAGGAGAAGTAGGTAGCTACCAGGAATTGTCCCCAGGGGAAGCCTTCTTGGAGCAAGAGCTGTCCCCAGGAGAAGTAGGTAGCTACCAGGAATTGTCCCCAGGGGAAGCCTTCTTGGAGCAAGAGCTGTCCCCAGGAGAAGTAGGTAGCTACCAGGAATTGTCCCCAGGGGAAGCCTTCTTGGAGCAAGAGCTGTCCCCAGGAGAAGTAGGTAGCTACCAGGAATTGTCCCCAGGGGAAGCCTTCTTGGAGCAAGAGCTGTCCCCAGGAGAAGTAGGTAGCTACCAGGAATTGTCCCCAGGGGAACCCTGCACAGAGCAAGAGCTGTCCCCAGGAGAAGTTGGTAGCAACCATGAATTGTCCCAAGGGGAAGACTGCACAGAACAAGAGTTGTACCTAGAAGAATCCAGGAGCTACCTAGAATTTTCTGACTGGGATGAATGCATGGAGAAAGAGCTTTCCCAGGAAGTTGGTAGTTCCCAAAAACTGTCTAACTGCAAAGAATGCAGCGGGCAAGAGCTATCCCCCGAAGTCAGTAGCTACCAAGAACTCTCTGACTGGGAAGAGTCCATTGGACAAGAACTTTCTGAAGAGGAAGCTTCCATCGGCCAGAAGGTGTTCAAAGGGAATATTAACAGACCTTCCATGCAGTCCAGCTGGAAAAATGACAGCGATAAAGAGCTGATGCAGGACAGCTGTGAATACATGAGTGTTCACAGCACTAGCGTCAAGCTCTCGTTGCAGAAGGAGGACGAGTGGGACGATCTGAGTGTCCTTGAGCTATCTGGAGAAGACACAGACAAAAGACTGGGATGCTTTGTAGAGGATGGGCTCCCAGCGCCTGTCTCTCAGGAGGCTTGTGTTGAGCCATGCCCCCAAGTGCCACTTGGTGCCTTGCCTCCCCACGTGAAAGCCCAAGCTCCCAGAGGACCAGCAGTTCCTCCTGCCTTCAAGAAGCAGGTGCCAGAGGCAGGTCCTGCCCAGTACAGCTATCCCAGCTGCTCCGGTCCCTGGCTGGGAGCCCGAGCCCAAGCCTTCAGGTGGCAGCCAGCTCCCCACAAGAAACATCACAGACCAGCGCTCTGGGGGCTGTTCAGACAGGTCTGTTGCCCCTGCCTGGCACCGCACCCTGAGGATTAGGGTGATGCCACCTGGGCCCCATAGATGGCGGCTGACATGCAGCCTGCCCCACATCCTGAAGGAGCCACACAGGCTGCTGCTGCATCCAAAGACATAGAAGGGAATGCTGAGGCAGGGATACCCTGGGAAGAGCCACGCCTTTAAATTAGGGTGACACAAATAAATGTTCTCCCACAGTTCCTTGTGCCTTTGTGCTAATAATCCAAGTTACATCATCCCTTTTCCCTCCCCCAGTTCTAGAATGTTCCTCACTTCCTCTTTCTGTATTGGTCGTCATTCCTTACAGCTTCTCCCCTGAATCCTGGTTGGTTGTTACCCTCTAACCCTGCCCCTGTACCGCCCCTATTCCCTCAATCCATTGGCCCTCAGACCTGATCCTCCACCTCCCTAGTCCTGTATATGATCCTGGACCCTCCTTTGTTCTTGGTTCTTTGTCCCTGGCTCCCTTCGGTGTGCTGCTAATTAAGGCCACTGGAATACCATACAAGGAACCCCTCCTGTATGCTTTTCTCTCTGTCGACCTTTGTGTAACAAAGCATGGTGCGAGTGTCTGGTGTGCAGAAATAACCCTTCTCAAAGAGGACACTCTCAGGAAGGCAGTAGTTTAAGCAGCTCCTGCCGTGCTGCCGCAGGTGGCAGCCAGCTCCCCACAAGAAACGTCCATCCTGTCTCAGACAGGTGCTGTGGGCGCTGTGCAGCCTGTTCTGCTGCCCCTGCCTGGCACCACAGCCTGAGGATTAGGGCCTGCTGCTGGCTCCAGCCCGGGCCCCACAAGTGGTGGCTGGCGCACAGCCTGCCCCGCGTCCTGAGGGAGCCTTTGCCTGGACATGGCCCTGCAGCTTCAGCAGTGCCTGGGTGCTTTGGAGCATCCCAAGTGGGTGCTCCAAAGACCAAATATTACTGATGCAGCCAGCCTCAAACCAGCACTTTTGGAGGACATTTGGTGGCAGGTGGCTCAGCGGTGAATCACAGAGAATCACCAAGGTGGGAAGAGACCTTGAAAGTCATCCAGTCTCACTGTCACTCTGACACCATCATCATCACCCTGAAACCATGTCCCCAAGTGCCACATCTGGACAACACTTGAACGCTTCCAGAAATAGTGACTCTACCACCTCCCTGAGCATCTTCTTCCAATGCCTGACAACTCTCTCAGGGAAAATTTCTGATACCTAATCTGAACCTTTCCTGGTGGAACCTTCCCTGGAGGAATCTTCCCTGGAGGAAACCTCACATCTTGAAAGGATTACCTGCTGATCCTTTGGGTTTTTATGCTTGAGGAATGGGTAAAGACAGGAGGTATTGCTCCCAGGGTCTCAGTGCACACTGCAGGATTGTAACACACACAGCTAATTCAAAACAAATTATGAAAGGTGGGTTTAAGAAATAGTAGTAGTAAAAAAAGAAAACCCACACACAAAAAAAACCAGAGAAAGAATAAGAATAGTAAAAATTATAAAATAAGATTAAGAATATGAAGAATTGGTAGTACTAAATAATAATAATAGTAACAGTAACAGTAATAATAATAATAATTTGTAGAAGAAGAAATAGTAATAGTAGTAAAAATAATAAGTAAAAGAAGAAAAATAATAAGAATAATAAGATTAAGAAATAATAGTAGTAAATAATAACAATAATTATTATTATTGATGATAATTATATTATATTGATGATAATAATAATATCAATTTAAAATACACATACACACATATTCTAGAATCACAGAATGTTTTGGATTGGGAAGGACCTTAAAGATCCTCTAATTCTATCTGATTATCTCCTGTTTTTTCTCTGAGACCTCTTTCCTATTTGTTTCTATCCCTCTAATTCACATTTCTTGTTAAATAAAATTCATGTTAATTAAAATCTGCATGATTTTGTCATCATATCGTCTCGTTTGTGTGCTTTGGTTTAAGCAGAGGCATCTCCCCCAGTTGGATTGGAACATATTCTCTGCTCTGCCTGTCATTATAGCAGAGGTACTTCAGCTCTCTGAGGATCTTCATCACTCTTCTCTGAATTCTATTCTGTTCTATTCTATTCTATTCTATTCTATTCTATTCTATTCTATTCTATTCTATTTTACATCCTTCTTAAGCTTGGGCCATCAGACACAGATATGGTATTCTAGGTAGAGTATCACAGAAATGGACTAGAGGACCACAGTCACCTCCCTTAACCTGCTGCTCTTTGCTCCTTTCCATGCAGCCCAACACATGGCTGGCTTTCTGGGCTGGCAGCACAGATTGCCGGCTCATGCTGAGCTTTTCCTCTATTTGCGCCCCTAAGTACTTCTCCTCAGCCTCTGCCTCGCTCAGCTGCCTGTCCCCTGCAAACCGTGTGCTGATTATCCATACAATGTCTGTGTCATTGGCAAAGCCATTAAAGAACTCTTGTGACAAGGCAGAGCCCGGAGGGACACCTCTCATTCCCAGTCTCCACTTTGAAATGGAGCCACTGACCAAAATCCCCTTGCTGCATCCATCTGCCCAACATTTCATGCCGTGTATAGTTCACCCTCCAAAGCCAGGCCTTTGCACTGTGGGGCTTGGGGTGTCATGTAGCACTGTGTCCAAAGCCTCACAGGGGATCTGGGCACAACAGATATGTCAGAGACTGAAATGTTATGGGTAATGGTCTAAGCATTGCTAGGAAGCAAGCGTTTTCCCATTATGGCAAAACCGTATAAAGAAGCTGCGACCACCAAGGGGAACCAATCCTTGACCTGACTGGAGCTTTGGACTATGATTCAAGCTGCTCAACAGAACTTGAGATACAATAGTGACACTTTTGTTTAATTACCTCAGGTTGAGGGACAAGTAAACAAAACTGAAGGAGAAGAATGTATCCACAAGAAAGCCAAAGCCTGCAGCTCTCCTGAAAATTAGCTCTAGCTGAGTTTGGCCTGAAGGAGGCCAGAGCACACGGGCTCATCTGCTGAGGCCAAGTTTGCTTCTTAGTTCCCACCAACTAAGAAGGAAGGAGAAGAGTTTTGGGGGTGTGGCATAACCTCTGGTCAGAGGCAGTAACCAAGATGCACCAGTTCAGGGAGATATCTGTGACAAGCATACGTCAGTGAATATCCATTCATATTTCTGATCTAGAGAGAGAGTGGTGGTATGTTTCTGCCATAAATATATATATATATATATTTACATATATATATATGTGTGTGTGTGTATATATGTGTGTAAATATATTTATATATGCAGTATCCCTTAGTATCACACCCTCCATGAATATTAACAGATTCTGTTAGGATCTTTGTGCTGTTGTGCTCCTTTTCCATCTTGACATGTGTTTAAGATTATGGTGATCTAGGCTGCTTTAGTCTGCATGACAGTGAAATTAAATAAACTGGTCTTTAAAAGGATACTGAGTTGCATAATTTTACTGGATTATATTTAAATTTTCCTCTTGGGGTAGCACCACTGTGAAAACCCTTGCAGCTTGGGAAATACAATGGTTTTAAAGGTTGTTACTGTACTTTAGCTCCTAAAGAATGACGTGTACTTCATAAAGTACACTATTTTCTCCCTATATATGCTTATAACTGAAGCTGTGACATTTTTCTCTTCATTTACTAAACTGTAGCAAAATCTCTGAAGCAGCATCAGTCTGACAGTAACAATAAAATGTCTTTGAAAGTGGGCAAGCTAGAACTGAAGAAGCTCCAAGATGAAAATGTAGAAACAGTGGTAATGTAAAGTCTTTGAAATAAAGGTATTCTACTTTTCCTTTCCAGCACTTCTTGACAGTGTTGCTCTGTCTCATTCATGTGATGGAAATATATGGCTCATCTATATACAGTCCTTTCAAATACTGGCCTTTGAATGTGGGGACATTAATTTTCCTTCATAGCTGCCAAAACCAATTTGCCACTATCGACATGAAAGGACTGGGAAAAAAAAAAAAAAAAAAAAAAAAAAAAAAAAAAAAAAAAAAGAGGGGAAAAAAAAAAAAAAAGGAAAAAAGGAAAAAATAAAATAGATCCTTTGTTGGAAGAGACAGAAGACAAATCTGAATCAGAAACATACAAATGCAGCACCAAGGTGAAAATTTTTCACAGTTTTCATGTATATCTGAAGTGGTGTTGTGCTCTGCATAAAGTATTAAATTTTCTTCATCTGTGCTGTTATTCCTTTTAAAGGGAATTTTGTCAGGATGAAACAGGTACAGAAGGTATAAATAACAGTCTCTGACATGGCAAGAGAGTTTACAAGCCAGGATTGTCACATATCAACAGAGTGAAAAATAGACAACACAATAGAAATGATTCACAAACCACTGCTGCTCATGTACACTATATGACTTATCACATGTATGCTGGATTAACTCAAGTTTTTTAACTAACAACTCCTGCTCATTTTGCTGCAAAGAAAAAGCATCACTAAACTGAGTAACAACTTTGTGAAAAATATCCATTCTATATCTATTTGAATCCAAAATAAAGGTCTAAGGTAAAAACATAGGCTTGTAAGATACAGGCTTCCACTAACCATTTGAATTTATGTGTGGATAGCTGTGCATTATTCAGTCTCAGTTCTAAAGAGGCTACAACTGCACATCACCAGTTTTAAATTGGTCTAATGCCCATGCTGTGTGCAAATAAGATGGGAGCTTAAAAAGTGCTGTCTAAAAAGTGACATTTTCCCCTCAGTCCTGAGAAGCATTCTCAAGGTGTAGCAACAGAAGCACTGAGGAAAAGAATAATTACCTTGGGGTCAGTAGACAAGACTGTGTATTATTTGTGCTCCTATTAGATTTCTTACAGATCACATTTATTTCCCAGGTCTGAGATCTGAGTACTGAGCCCAAAGGAAATTCCATATCAGTTTCTACTTTGGAGAGTTTAATTTCACAGAGAAAGCTTTATTCCAGATTAGTTGAGTAATCCATAGGCCCTGGTGTAATGCTAGGAGCTTACTTAATACTCTAGCGATTTCTCATTGTAACTTCAAATATAATTTTTTTAGTTTAGCTAACCATTTGTTAGTCTTTAATTTGACAAACCAATCACAGAGTCTAGATTTATTCTCAAAATATAGGGCCATTTTACTTTTCAGGAACCACTCCTAGGTCTGCACAAAATGATGGCCTGTGTCTTAGAGCTACCAGCACCCTGATTCCAACTGCATAGGGCAGCTGATGATGTTCATGGACAGCAAAATGAAAGGCACTCAACTTCATTAATTTAAAGCTTCATTTCTTTGACAACAGCATGCCTATCTTCATGCACAAATTTCTGATCTATTTCTTCTTTGAATTTAATTTTGAGAGAATGAGTACATTCTGGTATCAGACATCTTGAGTTCTTTTTAAATCTGTGTTCAGTTTTCTATTCTTAAATTTATGGATGAATAACAAAAGACTTTATCAGTAGTGAGTTTTTACTTACATATCATTGTTACATTGGCAACCCTTAGTTAGCAGACCCATCAGCAGTTTATTTTGGCATATGCTAATGAAATAAATGATTCCACATTCCAATTGCTAGTTCCTACCCATACCTTCTCTCCAGAGCTGGCATCAATGTTCATGCAGCTGCATGGTGAACTGATATACATTCTCTGCAAAGTTTCTTTTGGCTGAGCCTAGACATCTTTCAGCAGTTACCACGTTTGATTGTGATGCTGGCCACTAACCAAAAGTACTCCCAGAATTAAAAATGCTACATGTGTATCTACTCTGTGTTAGAGAGTATCTATTCAGGCAACAAATGCTTTTGTTAGTCTTTTAGTACAAGGTCAGCAATCACTAGCATCAGGTTGAACATAGTGTTAACAGCGCATTATCAAAAAAAGGGGTAATCACTAGCTGATTATTTACAATATTTTCGGGGTATTCTGAATTTTGAAAAGACTTGTAAGTGTGAATTCTTCAAAAGAGACATTAAATGTCCTCACTGCAGAAAACAAACAAAGGTGTGTGAAACTCAAGCCCAAAGATACCATGCTGCATACAATAAGCTGTATATATATTCTTGTTGTTTAGGTGCATAGGCTTAAGAGGAAGTGACAAAATTATTCTTAAGATTAGCTGTAAATTTTAGCCAGACAGAAAAAAAAAATGAAATTCAGTAGTAGTTTTACCCTTGGAAAGGCAAAGACACATTTTTAAAATTTAATCAATATTTACTTGCCATTGCTACTAGTTCTGCAGAATTTGACTGAGGGTCACTAGATCTCTACAAAAGAGCAGGTTTTGCAGTTCCCAGAGCCCTATAAAGCTGCTGTACATGAATACAAAGTAAGCTTCTCTCAAGCTGCCACAGGTACCCTTTTCTCTTGAAACATTCTGTAGTAGATCTACATTCACTGCAAAGGTGGGGGAAAAAGGGCTACTGCCATCTGTCCTTCAAAGCAAACATCAGCCAGAAGCAAGTATGTTCAGGTCCTGCTGTGGCCGGAAAAAGAGTATATATTTATTAAATACAACTGCTTTAATATTAATAAAAAGTAAAAAAAATTGAGTAGTCCAGGAGAAGTCCAGACTGAGGAAACAGAGGTCAAAAGTCTGCC